CATGTCCTGTACAATTGACTGCAGGATTCCTGTGTCCAAAATTGAGATGAGTTGACTGAAGCCTTGAACTTACAAGAGCTGAGCAGGGTGTTGTGCATAGCACATTTTTAGAGGGCTTTCATTCATAAGCTTGAGATAACTTGATGGCACATAACAGCAACAACAAAATTCCTGTGTAAATTCCTGTTTGCATCAGTTAAATTTCACACACTCTTATGCAGGACGGGGAGTAGTCAGTTAGATTAATATGATAAGTTTGGGCTCTTCCTATTTGTTGATTACTCTTGTGATGCCTCCATACAGTCTAGAGCATAACAGCGGAGCAGCCTGTTGGCCATGTTATTTGTGCTGACCTCATTTGACCCAGTTTTGAATGATGTCCTTTCAACAAAGTTGTGGCCCATTTAAAATCCAAGGACAGTGTTCTGGTTTTCCATCCACTTCCTCCCCCAATCCTAGTTCACCCCAATTTTAAAAGATAATGGAATTGGTCAGGTATCATTCAAGTGTACAAGCTTTTTGAGAGGGTAGTGAATCTCATAGTCAATGCTCATAAGTCTTCAAAATCCATAAATCAGCTTTCAAAGACCTTCTCCTACAACATCTAGACCTGCATTCACAAGATAATGAAGATTCACACACATTTCACAAACATGGATGCCAAGGGGAACAGAAAGAACACAGCAAGAAAACATCAAGGAGTATAGAGATCGGAGTTGTGAGTACCCTGTCTCTATTCTTCTATTTTCACGCTCATCTGTTGCACAAATCACAGACAACGTTATAAGGAAGGATATAGTACTGCTCTTTCACAACTAAGAACCCCCATTAGTTTCAGTATGGCTCACAAAAACAAATGTCCTGGTAGATTGTGCCCATTGTAAGGTATTAGGAATATTTGGACACTTTCAAACTTTATCACGATTGCCTGCATTCGATTGATCTAGGTGCTCATTAATTACCATGATGATCTTGGCAATTCCATGTTACAAATAGTGATGAACACAGACATTCTTGAAAGCAATCCATTTGAAATCTAATTTGTTGGCGAAATGAACCATATAAACAAAACGCCACTTGCAGTTTGACTCAAATGAGATGTGCTTAACGAGCCCATCATTGTCTGAAACACTCATCATTCTGGGGTCACAGCTACATAAAATGTTATAAATCTGAGCCAATGTGCACAAAGTGGAAGTATCATGTTGTATTCTGAATAGGGTGAAGCATGAAACAGCCAGCCAGCCTGCCTGTGGATGGATTCTTAAATCACTTTCTCCTTCTCTGATGTTTGGGCAGATGCATGCAGAAAAGCAAATGAGACTATGGACAGGGAGTAAATGAAAAATATTCATGTGTGGTACATGATAATCTAAATTGAAATTGTGGGCCTCAGAAGCTGACTGGCTCAGAGGGTCATGTTCTCATGAAAACTTGAAATTGCATTTAAACTTCCGCTAAAGCACTCTGAGAATTACAGCTCTGTGAGGGGGCTGAAAAACTTCAGGTGGGATGTCTAGACCAAGAGATTCTCCTCATAAGCTGCCACAAGCCAGTATGAAACCACTGTAATTTATGCACAAGTGCTCACAGTTTGGAGGAAAAGCAAGCACAGAGCAGCCAATGGATGAGGCCAGTTCTGTACAATATTTAAAAGATAAAAAGTCACAGAAGTGGTCACCTTTTTCAATGTGATTCTAGTCGCAGCAGTATCTTAAGGCTGCTTAGCATCAAAAGATGCTCCGTGTCCTGACAAACATTCCACAGCCATTGTCCAACCACCGTGCTGAGTTCTTCTACAGATACGACTCCTCCTTTTGGAGATGAGCTCCTGGGAACGTGCTTGGCTGCAAGGATCCCAGTGGTCTGTCATGCCTGTCACACGTTTGCAGCCACCCGGACATCTTTTAACACAGCAGCAAATCTGATACTGCCTGCAGATTAGGCAGAAAAAGGGGGATTTGTATATGGGGTTAATGTGCTGGGAGTCAAGGGACTCGAACAAATGGTTCCATATGATGAGTTGGAAGTGATGAGTAAGAGTGATAGGAAGGTGTTAGTAAGAATGATGACAGTAGTGAGCACAATAAAAGACACTTAAGGGGCCGAGGGAATGCTGTGACTGATAGCGTAAAGCCCAGCTTCAATCTCTCACATCTCCCATACTTAGATCACGAGACAGCATGTCTCCTAACTTCTGACTCGTGATGACCTTGTCTTCCTTTTTGCTTCCAGCAAACATCTCCACTTTCTCGCTTTCCCCTTGTGGCAGAAACACCTCTACTTACCTCACAACAAAATGCTTAGCTGAAAAAAGTTGATGAATATTCAAGAATGCTATTTTAGGTTTTCTTAATCCCTTCATTTCAAAATCTTTCTATTTGCAACTTTTCCAATTACAATGACCACAAAATATGACGGCCTCATACTAATAACTAATTTTAAAGGGTTGTTTTTGATTGGTAGGTTACTATTCACAGGCATTAATGATACCACATAATACCTCTGCCAGGCCCACCTACCTAATCCCCCTGTGGAGCACATAAAATCATCATGATTTAAGTGTCTGTGCAGGCATCTGAGCCCTTGCAGTCCCAAACTCTGACAGGCTTTACAGCCCAAGCAGCTACGTCTTTTGCTTTGAGGCTGCTGCAGTTCTAAGCTGAGAGCACTCAAGTCTGGAACAATGGAGGCACCTGACTAGCATCTGTTGCAAGCCAGTCACAGACAGCACAGAAGAAAGAAGCTCCAGTACTCCAGGAGAAGGCTTGCTAGGCTGTACCACCACAGGAAGATGGAAGCATCAGTGTCCCGCTGCGAATACCTATTAACATTTTCAGGTTTTTGGAATCTTAAATCAGGACTGTCATCAAGGATAGGCTTGGTCAGGCACCTACCAAGGTTTTTAAGCTCCATCAGGGAGACATTGATAATAACTCCCTGGACTTGCTTCTCCTCTCACCATTGTAGCTTTCCTGTTCATTTGAATCTCATTATGGACTTTCTGTAAGAGGCATATAATCTGATCCTTTACTGAGGCTTCTTTTCCCATTTTATTTGCATCCTGCACTTGAGTTCCCCATTCCCCTCTGTGCTTTTCTATATGTTCCATTATGCACCACTAGATGGTATAGAACAGACCATACACTAGGTTTCTGTTGTGAATAATGAAGCCATCTTGCTCTGAAAAAAGAAGCAGCTGGAAAACTCAGGAGAGGCCCTGGAAGGTGACGGTGTCATGAAAACCCTGCAAGCTCCTGTGAGGGAGGGATCACGAATGAATCACAAATGCCTTGTGGAAGGATGCCAGTGGTGCTGAGAGAAGGAGCAGTGGATGCCACGGTCTCCTTGCTCCCAGGCAAGAAAATGGTAGCACTGATGGGAAAAAGGGTGAGGAGGAGCAGTTGCTGCTGATGGTTACCATGAGAAGGAAGGCTGGCTGAAAGGTCCCTTGCCCAAGGGCTGTCCAAAACCTGGAGCTGCCACTGGGTGATATTCCCAGCAAAGCAGAGTTGGTGCAGGCAAGGGTGGGGGCTCTGCTTGCATCGCTTGGAGATCAGTTGCTGGCTGGCTTGCACTCCTTTGGGATCCAGGGTTTGCCTGGTTGCAGTACTGTTTTGTCGCTAATCCTAGTGTATGTGTGTACAAACCTACATGGAAATGAGTAATAATTGGTTGTTTTCAAGCCTGGTCTGAGTATATGTGGAAAATAATGTTTAATATAAAGTCATGCAGTGTAGCAGGAGTGCTGGAGTTGAACTCAGGAGAACTGGGTTCTAGTTCACACTCAGCCATGAAGCACACTGGGTGAATTTGGGCAGCTCACTGATTCTTAGCCTAGGCTACCCCACCATAGGGTTGTTTTGAGGATGAAATGGAGAGGAGGCTTATGTAAACCACCTTGGGTTCCTTGCAAGAAAAAAGGCAGGTATAAATATAGAAAATAAATAATAGTATGCAAGCTACTGGCTCTTTGGTGAAATGAACCAATGATCTAATGTATCTTATGGCTAATCAATACACAGAAAAATGCCTAGATTGCTAACCCTTGGCATAGGTTAGTTTAAGTGCAGAACGTATTGAAGAAACCATATTTTTCTCTACATTCTAACTTACGACAACTAAGATACAAATATATTAAAAAGATATAGTAAAATATAGTAAAAATAAATATTTTATCTACATTGTTAAGTAAAAATAAAGAATTTGAATAATGAAGAAAGCAAAATAACTATGTATAGGGAGCAGTATTTCATTTAAAGATGGTTTTAGATGCAAAAACAATCTTTATAAAAAAAACAACAACACTTTCTAGTTGTAGGAAAGTAGACTCACAGACAAACTCCCCAATATCTGAAAGGTGGGTGATGCATCTTAATTTACAAGCAACAAATATGTTAACATGATGTCTTGCATGGACTGCTTCAAAATTATGATGATAGCATGAATAAATAGTTCTGTCAATGTTGGCTATATGCTAGGACATCAAAGAGGACAGGTACAGATCACAGTTATTAGTCCAATAAAAAGCTATTAACACCTTCCCTAAACTATACAAAATCAAGCTATGTGCATCAAGCCAACTTTTCTTAATTTAAAGTTTATGATGCTTGTAACATGAAAATATATATGAAATTTCCTTACTTATGTGTGCCCTTGGGTCAAGCTTCATAATGGTCAATGTAGTATGACTATTAAGTGTAATAAATAAAGTTCAGTGAACAGAACCTGAGCAAAATTAACAGGGCAGGTCTTGACTAGTGTTTATCTCTGTATTTATATCATATGCCCATTGACACAGTCTTTCAAGTTTTTGTCTTGAAGAAACAAATTCCACTTAAGTGATACTTCCATATTCAATACAACATGTTAAACACAATACAACATTGTAGTAATGATAATAATACAGTAAAATAAAGAAACTACAAGTACAGAAGAGAAAAAGAATTGTATGTATGTATGTATGTATACAGTATGGTAAAAACAAATAAAAGAAACAGTTCTTAAAACAGTTTAGAATATTCTTGAAGTATTATTAAGCCTAACATTACCTGATGATGTGATGCTGGAGGGGTGGGATTACCTCTGGAGTGGCTTTCTTGAGTAGGCCTCAAGATTGTTCGTACAGCCATATTCTTTTTCTCATCATACACGGCCTTGTAGCAGCTGAGGGGCTGGTTCCAAGGGCAAATGCTACAGAATAACTGAAGGGAAACTATGTACCATACAAAACACACTGGCTTGGATACACATGCGCCAACCTTGCGGAATGAAAAGCCATGAACACTTTTTTTCAAGGAAAATATACTTCCACTGATGACATGTCGCCAAACGGATTGCAGTTCTCTAGTGATATGTCACATAATTATCTGGGAATAGCTGTAACTATTTGTTGGGAACTATGAGGCCACTGATGACACATTGCATAGTTCCCTAGAGATATTCATGATTTTTTGAAGAAATATTCACATAGGGTTTATGGCGGTCCACACTTTCATTAAGTATCGATGGTTTCTAACCTGGACATTTGTAACCCGGAGATTACCTGTACAAAAATACAAGCTCTGCTCTTAGGCACACTTTTATGAGGAAGGGTGGAAGACAAAGAATTTTACAAAGTGACCCATCCACCTCTCTTGCTACACTGACTGGATTTGAATGGCATCAACATGCTTCTTTGCAAATGTTGCACAGCAAATATACTTTCCTGAGCAACCATCACAGAACATGTTTCACTAGTATAAACTGAATAATGGACATCTGGCTTCCAGACCATGCAAAAGGAAACTAATTCCTTGATCCTAGTGGGACTACCAAGAAGAATGTCCAGGACTGCAACCTGACCTCGTCAGATATGAGAAAGGGAACTTTATACAAGAGGGAGGAAGCAATATAGAGTCCCCTGAGTTTGGGGGATAAAATCAGCTTTAAAGCATATTTAGCGGTATAAAATACCAGACCTTAGCTCAGCCTCAGGGTTAGCACCAATGCAGAACATTCAGTTATATCTGTCAGACAATCAGTTTCAGTCCTTAGGAGCAGCTACTAGGAAAGGGGGAGGAGTTAATGCAAATACAGGAGTGAACAGATAGAAGACAAGTGAGGGGTGAATGGACCTATTTCTTAATGCAGCTCTCAGCTAAACCAAACATCATTGATCTGTAAGATCCAAAGACTGATTTTGATGGAGCGAGGCCCAGCTTGAACAGGCAGGCCATGCCTCTTGCATGGTGGAGGACTGGATGTGCCAACTCCAGGAAACTGAATAAGACATTAGGTTTAACTGGATAAGTACTGAGATGTGTAGGATGACTCTCATTTCTTTGAAAAGGGCAGGAGAGAGAAGCTTCCCTGTGCTATTTCTGGAATGGAAATTGTCCCAACGATTGTACAAGAAGTATATGATGGAGTTGTATTCTCATGTTAATAATAAGTAGAATATAATGGCAAATAATTTCTCTGGAAAGTCTTTTGCATTGTATTATCCATCCTTTATTTGTGTACCCTGTTTCTGTATATAATGGATTTTAAAGCTGGCATCTCTTTTGAAATATAGAAGGGATATGCAGAAAATAAAACATGGGAGAGCTTTTTTCAGACATATATGGGCCTTCTGGGACCAATATTCTGGGCTTCCTCCGCAAAAGTGCAGTCTATCGCTCTCAGATCCACTCTGTACACCTGATTGTTCAGTTGCCAAAGCACAACTGCTCGTCTGTTTTATTTATGAAGGAATGCAAAAAGGAAAGGCATCTTTCTCAGATAGAAAGGTTGTTTCCTATGCAGATTTGAGGAATGTTTCAAGGCAGGCTAGAACCTCACCATGGCATTTGTTTCCTGTTCAAAAGAAATAAAGGGCAGAAATCTTTTTTGATCCTAATGCAAACCATAGCTTGTTGCTCATGATACATATTCAAAAGAGCATTAATATTAGGTGTAACGCTGCCAAAGTTAAGCACTTTCCATTCTCATTGATTCATCGGGACAAAGCCCAACTGGTCCTAGGTTGTAAAATCTGTTTCTGCGTTTGAGTCCTAATTCTTTATAACCACAGGGCTTAGGGCCAGTTTCCTTGTAAGAGATTCCATCTGGAGGTCATTTTAAATCGCTTCAATAGCAGCTGTTAGTGCATGGTGAGCTGCTAATGTGCAGTAATTCATCATGTACATAAGGTGATTTTTTTACACTCTCTGAAATGGTCAGAGATGGGATGCCTTTGTTATAGCTTGGTCATTTTGCAATCATCTTGTTATATATCTAAGTATCACTAAGGCATTTGCATGAAGGAGTCAACACAGAGGCCACGGGTAGCCGATAACAGAATCAATAGGGTGTCTTTAAATATATGATATTTAAATTGCATTTACATCAATAGGGTGAATTATTCAGCCATGTGATTTCTTGAGATGCAGCTGGAATAAATCTATTTTATCACAGTGTGCATTTTGCCCCACTGGGGTAGTACATACCCAGGTTGGAGCAGTGTAGGGTGCTCCCCTCCATGATTCTAGCCAGCTAGCCATGCCCTCTTTCAAGATTGTCTATTTTATCCCCCCAGCCCACTAAGCATGCTCAGGCTTTGTTTGGCTGTTTTGGCTCCTATCCCATCCTCTTATAGTTTTTTCCCTCTCCTATTTGTTCTCCATATGTTAACTTTAGGCTTTCTTCAAGCCTGTTGATACTTCTCTTGTGTGTATCAATCGTTCTGTTTTGATTAGATAAGGATCAATGGCAAAATACTGTACTGATTCTGTCTGGTTCACCAGCCTGAGCCAGCCAGCCAAAAAAGCCTTCTTTCAGAATTCTCCATTCCATTTCCCTCATCCTGATTTCCCATGACTCAACTTTCTGTCACCGCTCAAAATGCCTTGACCTTATTGGATTGTTTTTGGGTATCCCCTCCTTGTAAGGAATTTTTTTCTCTTGACTATATAACTAACAAAACTTATGCACGGTTGGGGTTCCACCAGGCCTGTAATACCTCTCCTTGTCCCATTTGCTGCATAAGGATTGACAGTCAGAAAATGAAATTCACTATAAATTTCAATACATGAGATAAGGCAACAGAAAATAGCAGATTTCTGGACTGTATCAAATCATACTACAGGTGGGGAGGCCAGCTTTTGACTGCTTCCCTATGCACCGTGTATGCAATATGTTAGTAAAATGAGACTTTCCTTGATAGGTTCATTTTTTACATGCAGGTAAGTTTTATTGCAGGGAAGTCTGGAAAATGCAGCTATTTAGCAATCTAAAGTGTTAGAGGCCAGCATGTTGTTATTTCAGTTTACTTTGTTTGGCAATTCCCTCAGTTGGTCCCCTTCACACACATACCTGAATGGCTGTTTTTCTGTGGCACTGTCACATCTAGCTTGGCATATGTTTACAGGGGATAGCTTGAATTTCCAAAAAAATCTCTTGCAGTTTTATTTTAATAATACTGTATTGGTTTTTGGATTGAACTTCACTTTTACAATACTTTTATTTGTGTTATACTTTTATGACATTTTTCTTTGCCATGAAGAATGAATACTGTGGAATTTAACGTGATTTCTTAGAACTCAGTTTGTAATGTAAATGCTAGACCTATATTGGTTGGAACGTTCACAGGACTACCAACATCTTTCTGTCACTTTCTCCCTCATTGAAATTACCACATTCACATAAATTACAGGAGAAGCCCAAAGGCAATTTAAGGAGATCCAGTGTGATGTAAGAGAGTGCTGAACTGTTGCTTGGAGTTTTGGGTTCTAGTTCTCCCTCAGTCAGAAACTGACCTTGAACCAGTCACTGACTCTTGGCCTAATCCTAATCCTCACAAGATTGTTGTGAGGAGAAAATGGAGAGGGGGAAGACTATGTAATCTGCTTTGCCTTCCCCAAAAGAGTATAAAAAGGCGGGAAATAAATGTAATAATAAAATAAGACAGGGTCAAACTAGATGTGATGGCACATGTTTAAAACACTGTACTGTTCCTATCACTTAGAAAAGAGCTGTGTGAGCTTAATTTATCAGCAAAGGAACACTTCTGAATAGCACAGATTCAGGTTCTCCTTTGCTCCTCCTCATTTATTTTCCTGATTGTGTTTCTGCTCAACTGAATTTCAGCTCCAGAATGACCTTGACTGAACACAAAGCACTTGGAGAGACTGAATACAGTGAGTTAAATAGTAGATCCACGCACCCCTTTTGATATTAAAGATAGACTCTCACTCTTCTCATTTTATGTGAATGTGAACAAATCACATTTGCATTTTAGTGCATGGTCTCCCCAGCATCACATCCACTTTGGTTCAAAGCTCCATGCATCTTATCTGACTCATCACTTTGACCAATTCTTGGTGAATGTCTACTTTGGGGTGGGCAGGTCTAGATATCTTGGCCTACAACTCCCATCATCTCTCATTTGACTTTGCTGGCTTGGGCTTATGGGAGATGTAGGCCAAAACATCTAGAAGGTTACCTCTTCTACTCTAACTTTGAGATTAAATGTTTCATATCATGGAGATTTTACATTCACCTTGGACAATTATAGCCCAGCTCTGTTTTCCACTACTTTCCTAATCTCCTCTCCCCTCCCCTCCTCTCATTAATAGGTAAAACTTTTGCAGGACAAATCATGCAATTAAAGAGCACAACGACTCAGATCTTCTGCTAAAATGAATGCTAGTGAGAAACAACTCCCTTCTCCATTCTTCTTGGATTTGCCCAGAAATAAAACTAATGGAAATAACCCAGATTCACCATCTTCAGCCCTCTAGTTCCTTCAGGACCACATCTCTCATCATCCCTTATAATTGTCCATGCTGGATGGCGCTGACTGGTGTTGAATCTGCACCGCTACCTAAGTGCATCTGAGTTAAAATGGTAACCTGGCATGGTTCCAGCCAGGGTCAGAACAGGCTGTGATGCTGGTCCAGCCCCTGCAAGTCTCCAAAGCCCCTCTCCCCTCATCCCCTGATAACCTACAAGCTTCCTTCTCCCTGGCATTGACCCAGCTTTGGTTGCAGGTGAGACATCAGGAGTAGCAAATGTAGGATATCCCACTTAGTGGTTGGC